TGCCCCCTAGAGGGTCAATTTGTTACTACATACTCTGTCTAGAAGCCCATATTTACGGACAAGCTTTAGCAGATCGTCCCCCAAGCCACTCTCGTTGAAAAACATAAAAGACGTCTATAGACGTCTTTGGCAGCCAACGGTTGGATTTGAATTGACGTCTATAGACGTCTTTGGCAGCCAATGAGTTAAAAAAGACAAAAAAAACTGATACCAGCACGAGGTTTAGTCCCTCAAAGGACATCACAGGACACACCCGTCTTTCTGTTAGCGCCTCAGCTTTAACGGAAAACCATCTAAACTGATTTGTGCCCCGAGTATGTTCACACCTATGCGTGACCAAGTGTAAAATAGAATATAAAGAGACTTAATTAGTAGTACAATGTTTAATTACAAAAATATAAAATCATCGTTAATCGATGGGCTGCATTCAAAACAGGACCAGCGTATACTCGACTGACCTGGGTTAGCGTAAATAATAATAAATATGCAACTTAGGAAACAAATGAAATCAAAACGGCACGGCCAAACAAAAGCCCAAATAAAGAAACAAACAAAACATGCAAAGGTGCCCCAGGTCAATTCAATTTGACACGGTCCAAAAATCCTATACAGGCCCAAACAATTAATGCACAGCCTAAAACTTAACAAAAAAGGGAAAAAACGGTGGGTGGCGACTCGGTAGCATCCAGATCAATAAAAAAGCACACACCTTCCACAATCAATATGACGATCACTCTATTATTCAAATTACTACCTTAAGTAAGTTACCTTTGTTAGCATCCCAAAAAGAACTCTCCTAGTTGTAGAGGCCAGCAGGTGATGACTGATGACTGTAGCTACTACTTGGATGGAAAAGGATATGGTCACTATTAGGTATGCAAATTATCGATTCATTCATTAATCGTTAGTTGATTATCTTATCGATCGACTTTCGATTAATTGATAAGCGGCGTTTCTCACCTGAGTTTCAGGGCTTCAATAGGGCCTTAATATAATTGAGGAATTGTATTACATTAGCCAACATTATGATACCTTAATTATATTCTATTATATTATACATTCCTCAAGTAATTATGCATTAGGAGAAGAAAGCAGACACGTTTTTAAGGTAAAACAAAATCTTTAATTAAAAAAAAACCTGGCTCAGTTCTTGCATGATAGCGCTATCATCTCTCCGGCTGATGCTAATGCTAACGGATAGGTGGCTATGCTAGCGAGCTAGCTGGCTAACGCCCCAACGTTCTTGTTTTTGTGGTCGCGGACAGTCGCTATGACAACCTTCTTTGCCTGAATTAACAATATCGAAGCGGTCCCACACCGCACTTCTTTTCGCCCGCTTCGTTTTGTTTTCGACCCTGGTCTCTCGCGCTGTGTTCAAGTTACAGTAAAGCGCTAGCACCCTCTAGCGGTTAATCGTGATTAACACGTTTTGATCGAGCAACCTCTTGATCGACAATGAATCTAAAGTCGATTAACCGTTTGCGTCCCTAGTCACTATTTGCCACACTGCTTTTATGGCAGACACAGAGTACACATTTACCTTTTTGTCTGCGCACCAAACCCAGATTCGGCTTAACCGCTCAAGTAAGATGGCTGCCGGTTGCCCTCTGCGCCCACGTGGAGTGAAAGGCCCAGATTGGCCTCCCTCTGGCTTTTAAAAGCTATGCTCCGCCCCCCCCCCAACTTCCCACTTCCTGGTTCACCCGGTCACATATGTAGGCCTCGGAGCTAAACCACCTCTGATGAACAAAATAAAAATGTAATATTATTTTGGACACTTTTTGGTATTTTGGGGAATGAAAGAGCAGATAGGTTGGCTAAGGAGGCTATTAAAAAAAAAGAAGATATTGATATGCCAATAAAGTTATCTAAAGCTGAAGGAAAAAAGTATAGTTTGGAGAGAAAGTAAGAAGATATCGAAAAGTAGGTGGGATAATGAAATAAATGGAAGGCATTTGTATAAGATACAAAATACAGTTGAGGTAGAAAGGATTAGAGGAATAAATAGGAGGGAGGAGATAATTATAAATAGAATAAGAACCGGTCATAGTTTTTTGAATGGAACTCTTTTTAAGATGGGGAAACATCTTACTGGTTTATGTAGTTGGTGTGATGATGTAGAAACAATGGAACATGTTTTTATTAGTTGTAGGAAATATGTAGATCAAAGAAGAATATAAAAAAATGAATTGGGTTGTAATAGGGACTTGAAATTTAAGAATGTGGTTGAGCAGTTAAATGATACTGAGAGAAAAAAAGAAGATATTTCGTTTTTAAAAAAAATAAATACTGGGATCATTATGAGAATTTGAGGTTTAGACAATAGGATCCAATAGAGGGCAGTAATACAACAATCATGGATGTAAGCTGCCGTTAAAAATCAAAGAAGAAGAAGAAGAAGAAGAGTACAATACACCAAATACACCCTAATGATTAAGGCAAAGTCTGAATGTTTTGCCTTAATCATTAAGGTGTATTTATCTTGTGTGTGTGTGTGCGCGTGTGTGTGTGTGTGTGTGGCGGGGTACACCCTGGACAGTCCGCCAGTCCATCGCAGGACCACACACAGAGACACACAAGGACCAACAACCACTCACACTCACATTCACTCCTAAGGGCAATTTCCCCAATCTCCAAATCAGCCTAACATGCAGGTTTTTGGACTTTGGGAGGAAGCCGGAGAACCCGGAGAGAACCCACGCAGACACAGGAGAACATGCAAACTCCACCCAGAAAGGCCCCTGGTTCCCCCGGGATTCGAAACCCAGAACCCTCTTGCTGGGAGGCGACAGTGCTAACCACCACCTCAACCACCGTGCCGCCCGCCTTTTTTGACAATGACAATAAATTGAAATTGAAATTTAATTGAAATTGAAATTGAAGAGGAAACCACCTCTGATCCTCGTCCGTGGGGTTCTGCCCGCTAGGGTTGTCAAAAGTATCGATACTTTAAAAAGTATCGATACTAAAATGTTGTATCCAGATACGATACTCATTTTCAAAAGTATCGATACTAAAATGTTGTATCCGGATACGATACTCATTTTCAAAAGTATCGATACCACCCCCCCGCCCTTCTCTCAGATTTATTTATGTATTTATTTACGTTGTTTATGATCATTAACAAGACGTTAGCCTTGAACTGCTATCTGCGGCTAATGGCTAATTACAACACGCCAACAGTAATCAAGTACATATAAAACTCCGCCCACATCCAATCGGCCATTTTGATAACGTCACCAAAAGGAATATCCCAGGCAAGAAAATCCTAATTGCTTCATGGCAATATAGACAATCATTTAAAAATAGTTAAATGAATCTTCCAAACACTGAATTAAACTCTATCCATAATATGATGTTAAAATATTGGATGTTAAATAGTTTTGTACAATAAGTCCAAACAAGTTTCACCCAAAAAAATATTTATTTCTCACAATTATGAAGGCTGGAGGGTCGGGGGTAGGGTCAATAATACGGGCCACCAGTCACGATAACAATCAGTTACAGGTCAGTTTGAAATGAAAGACACTAACCTGTCATAATTCAGTTAAATTTTGGGGTCTTTGTTTTTATTCTTGTGGTATCGAAAATGGTATCGAGTATCGAGTATTTTTCTGAGTATCGGTATCGAGTTGAAAATTTTAGTATCGTGACAACCAGTGGTGGGAAGTAACGAAGTAGAAGTACTTCGTTACTGTACTTAAGTACAATTTCCGTGTATCTGTACTTTACTTAAGTAGATTTAATAATGGATACTTTCTACTTTTACTCGACTACATTTAACAGTAAGTATCTGTACTTTCTACTTCACCACATTTCTATCCAGCGTTTCGTTACTCGTTACATCCAAAACGCATTTCGTTTTTTTTATTTGTTCGTTAGTTTGAAAGTATCCAATGGCGAGAGCAGAATCGGTCCGCTGAACCAATCCAAAGCGGGAAATAACCATTAGGCCCTCCCTCAAGAAGAGCAGCACAGTACCAGGACCTGCATAAAATATCTAAATCTAAACTGTCACAGGGGGTAAACACAATAAAAACATGCTTTATCTGCAGCATTGCTCATTAAAATGGTACATTACTGATTTATTCAAACTAAATACGATAGGTACACTTAATGACATTATATAAGCCATTATGGTTGGCAAGTACTTTTACTTTTAATACTTAAGTAGTTTTAAAAGCTTGTACTTTCTTACTTTTACTTAAGTCAAATAATAATGTGGTACTTTGACTTTTACTTGAGTACATTTTTGTCTGTGTATTTGTACTTTTACTTAAGTAAATTGTATGAGTACTTTCTCCACCACTGGTGACAACCCCTACGTGCCCGCAGGTAAGGAGCTGCTCCTGCGCTCCCAGGAGGAGGCCCAGCGGCTGCAGCGCCGGGCGCTGCGCCACCAGGAGAAGCGGGACAAGACCGAGCGCCACGGCCGGCGGCTGGCGGAGCTGCTGGAGCGCCGCGCCCGCGAGCTGCACGGCGGGCTGCGCCAGCTCGCCGCCATCCGCCGGGAGCACATACTCGAGCTCACCACCCACATCTTCCCCATGCAGGAGGAGAAACAGGGCACCAGGTGAGCCGCGGCAGGAATAGCGTCACATACGTCGTATGAAACTTTAGGGTCTAAACACGACTCCTAGTTCCCTCACGATCGAGAGTTTAGTTATTAACTCATTGACTGGCGGCCATTTTCAGAACAGAGAGTCGCTCACTGCCAGAGTTTTTTTTGAGAATTTTGACTGATTTTTCAAGAGCCACAGAATAGTTTGTGCTGTGACTATGTAAACACCGAACACACCAAAAGAAAGAATAGACTCTCTTCTTTCATCAGGAAAAAAGATTTTGTTTCTACCTCATTCCGTTCTTCTTCGACGTGCGTCTCACCGGCGACATGTCGCTCATAGCGAACTATTGCGTTTGTTTTTATTTGCTTACAATCTATGCTAATCTCCCATCAAAAGTGGCACTGCCCCCTAGAGGGTAAATTTGTTAGTCCATACTCTGTCTAGAAGCCGATATTTACGGGAAAACTTTCGCCGATCGTCCCCCAAGCCACTCGCATTGAAAAACATAAAAGACGTCTATAGACGTCTTTGGCAGTCAGCGGTTGGATTTGAAAAGACGTCTATAGACGTCTTTGGCAGCCAATGAGTTAATCGATAGACCCAGGAAGAGGCATCAGAATAAAAAGGCTTGACACAGAGGATACGTTTTTCTCATCTGCAGAGGAAGGAGAGGATGCGTGGCCAGAGAAATGCCACACATCGAATCTCACCCACATTTCTC